ACTATGGCCATCGAGGACTACGAAGCATCCCGTGGCTGGCTTAAAAGTTCATTGCATGCCAGGAAGTATTTGTTATTGTTAGATTCAGACGAGGATGGACGTTGCATTGCTAAAATGGCTACAAAACGGACCTTTTGATGTCAAGCAGCTAAGACAAGAAGAGCTCTGATGCTGGAAGAGAGGGTAAAAGTGATCAAAATGAAAGACGGAGCAAGCAAAATAAAATACATTTTCCAAGAAATTGATGTAAGTGAAAGTGAATGCTGATCGTAAATTTTGCAATTTCTTTCCCTTTTTTTCTTTCTACACTGACAATATGAAGTGTCAAATAAGTGTGTGCTCATACTTATGTACTATTGGAATAAAAATAGAGTACACAAACGTTTGTGTGTGCGTGTACACATACATTTGTGTGTGTGGGTGTGTGTGTGCTTACATCTGAGATCAAATTTGCTACAGTGAAAAACCCCCTGTTGTGAAAAATTTCTTGCTGCAAACATGATTTCGTTGTAGAGGAGTTTCACTGTAAAATGAATTATAGAGGTCTTTGTTTTTATCTGCTTTAGTTTCCTAGTTCACCTTGTTCTTAAATCATTTCCACAGATGATTTCAACCCTCTCTTGTACAATAATAATCATCAGAATCATTGACTACTTCAGAACATTTCTGTACATCGGTCAAATTCATCACATCACTTTTGTGTCAGGGTTATGGCGAGAAGTCATACGTTCATTAAACTCGTGAGTCACGCACATTCACAACAATGCTGGTATCAAATCTTGAAAATTCATTTTGCAAAGTATACTGTTAATGAAACTGCTAACTGCAGAGCATCCTATGAGAAGACAAAAGGCAATTGTCATTAGTTTTGTGTTGGTTTCAATGTCTTCAAAGCTCGAAAGAAGCTTCTAAACAAAAGGCAACACTAAAAGATAGGTGTGGATGCATTTTAATGGCAGCAGTTTGATCAGAACAAGGCACTATTTGTTCATTCAAACAAAATAAAAAGCATGGAACCGCAATCAATGCTTTTTGTGATGAAAACCATCATCCAGTCACCTTGCAACTTTTTCGGAAAAGTTCCCCTTCTTTCTGAACACCTTAGATCAAGTCGTTCCCAGATGGGCTTGAGAAACAAACTGTTTTGTAAAACAAACCATCTGGTGCGTCTGGGTAGATATAAATGGGAAGGAAAAATGGTAGACCCACTCAAAGAGAAACTAGTGGGCCATTGCAAGCTTTGAGGTATTGCACTGTTGGAAATGAAGCCAGGGACCTTGGGATCAAAACAAAGCCCAGCAAGGATGCACATATGCCTTCAAGGCTGATCACGCTCTTTATTTCTATTTTTATCTTTAGCTGATGTCCTGCTGCAACAACAAAGAATGATTTGTTTTATTATTTTACAATACAGAATAATTCTTTAATAAATAAATAAATTATTCCCACTCTTCAGTTCCATTAAATGTTTGCTCACTGCAATCCAATTTCCATATTTACTCCCCTCCAAAAGCATGGAGCATGGTTGATTTCTTTAGTTTTGCTGGAGGCTAGAGACATTAAATTTGTCATCAAGAGATGAACATGAGACAAGAGATCAAGAGTTGAGTTTTTATTTCCTGATCTTTACATCTGGATCTGAGCCAGAATTGATTCATAACAAAAGTGCATTTTGGCGAGAGTCTTGAAACAGATTGTGACTATTTCATTGCAAATCCTTGACTTGTGATAACTGCATCAAGACTCTGGCCCGCTGACATCACCTTTGCATTTTTCTTTGCAATCCTTTTTTTCCAAGTTCTCTCCACAACACATTCAGATCATTTGTCTCCGGGGATACACTCTTTAATCTCTTTCAAGTTTTGCGAGGTGGTAGGTAGAGGACCCCAAATAGCAGGGAGGCCGGAGGAGCGGGGTGGACTGAGCAAAATATATTAACAAAAAAAATACTGCAGGAATTCACGAGAAAAACTAACTGAAGTACTCAAACGAAGTCCTGAAAATCACAAGAAACCCAAGTAGCGAAAAAAAAAAAACTATGACAGAAAACAAAAGGTGACAGAGCACACAGACACTCACAATGATCCAACCATGACTGACAGAACCCAGGGAACTAAATACAAGCTAAGTGACGAGACAACGAGAAACACTTGGAAAAGGCACAAAGGGTGGAGGGAGCTGATTGGTTAAACACAAGGGACACGGATGACGAGAACAGGGTGCAGACAAAAAGGGCGCATGAGGGAACAAAACCAAATGTAATCTAAACAAAAACCTAACAGTATCCCTCCCTCAAGGGACGGATCCCAGACGTCCCAAAGTCACCCAGCGGCAGCCACATAACTTGGGAGTGGGTGGCAGTGGGACCAGGCCTCTGGTCCTGCAGGGTCCAGTATTGATTGGATCATTCTGTGTGTTTTGGATCTTGCGTAAGGACCTCCAAATCAAAAAACATTTTTTGGACATAACTCTTAAATGGTCAAATGAAAAATAGGAAGTCAAGTGGTAACCGAGCGTGCCTTCTTGTGGACAACTTATTCATACGCCACTGCTTAAACTGGTTCATAGCACACCGGTCGTGACCTAAAAACTACTTGGCATTGTAAAACAAGGACTCTTGTACATCATCAATGAACATTTGAGAGCCTGTCCCAGAAGAAGCCATGCAAGCATATCGTTTTTTTTACTCACAAAACTTCCGTTCCGTCACTTTGGTAAAGGCTAAGCATAATGTCATCAGTCTTTAAAAAACGTTTCCTTGCTCTTTTTTTTTTTTTTTTGCGGGGGGGGGTTGGGGGTTTCATCTCTGTAATTTTTGGCAAATTCCATCCTGGACGTTCCATTTTTCTTCACGGTTTGCCTTTGATCGTGTATCATTTGTACCATTGCCAATGTGCAATGTTCTAATTGATTTTTCATCTTCACTCGGCCTCACAATCGCTTTTCTTACACAGACAGCTCTCTGGTTTTTATGATTGCTCCAAAAGTGTAAAGTATTTACATGCAAAACACACATCTGAAACTGAGTGGACTACACACAATTTATTTCATGAAGAATCCGTTTCATAGAAAGTTGAAACTAAGTGAGGTTGTATTAAACACTTTTGTTTGCGTGAAAAGTGGGTGCATTCAAACATAAGATACAATCTCCTAAATTCAGACCTACATGTAACTGGAAATAAAATCCAAAATGTTGATCTCTTGTCTCATATTCATCTTTTGATGTCCAACCCAAATGTACTGGGTCGACATAAAGGGATTAGCCCCACTGTTTTAATCCTTTCAGTGGAGATGGCATCGGAAAAGTGAAATGGCCCAGTGATTTTGATGTACTTATCATTTTACGAATGTGTCACAAGTAACAGTCTACAACATTTCCAGATCAGGCTGGTATAAATGAAATCCGTCCGTCCACAAGATTAGACATCCTGATCGTTTGCCTATAAGCTCTGAAATAATGCTTGATGCAGTGTTTGAAAGGTTCATTTACCGGTACTTGTGAATGACTAGTTGGCGTGTATCCATCTGCGTTTTACATGCATCATCACTGGCAGCAGAGGGACGTGGCAGGGAGCGACAACGGGAGCCCACGTCCACCCTGGAGGTGCCCGAGCGCCAGAGGACGACTTCTCATCATATACGTTCTCGCTCAGTATCCCCCCACCGCGAGGAGCAGGGATATATGCGTTCCCGCCCAGCCAATGTCCCTGCACAAAGGTGAGAAGTGACATGATTTGAAAATGACGTTTCATTGGAAGGGTCAATGCTGTGCGATAGTGGGCTCCATTATGACTTTAAAAATGGTATCCAAAATGCCAATCGAAAATGTGTTTGCAAAACGTTCTTGCAACATTTTGCTCTTCGTGTAAGTACCAAGATCTTCCTCATGTTAATACCTATAAATTCTTGGACTTTGAAAAAGTACTTTTCTTCTGTAGTACATCCCAAAAAATGCAGATTTTTTTCGTTTTGAGTCGTGTTTTCATTTGGTGCCACATCTTCAATATGTAGGAAAAGGCAAATGTTGCGGTGCCCCGAAAAGAAAAACGGTGTGTTGAATTTACTCCATTTTGCTTGATGAAGCGGTTGCGTAAAATAAAAACATCTGAATCTAAATGGATACTGTGAGTAGTGTTGTCGTTTACTTATAAAGTGTATCCGAACACAAATGATCTTATTTCGTGCAACCACTTGACAAAATGAAATTGAGTAAATTCAACACACTGTCTTTTCTCAGTGTACATGACAGTGTGTGGGAGAGGAGGAATGTTGGAAACCATCAAACGGAGCCCATCTTCTAATGAAATGGCCAACTACTCCGGAACTCATTGTACTGCCAGCTCTGCTTTTGACAGTCTGAGCCAACTGAGCCCAGCCAAGAATTGTTTGCCATATTGCCTGACCACTACAGTGACATAAGTCATTTCCGTCTTTAATTAGATATTTATTTTCAGGAGTCTCGACGATGAGCTTTCGCACTCCAGGCGTTCTCGGTCTCCGACCCGCTACTATGACTCTGCGAGAGGTCACCGCACGGATCCGGAATACCTGGATGACAGGTATTTCCCTTGAATCCTTGTATGTTCACTTATTGCCTAACTTGTATTTAGAGCAACACTGACAGCCTTGTAGTGTATGCTGGAAAGGGGCAAACATTTGATTTTATGGAGTGTGTGAATGCCACTGATGGTGAAACCTCATTCTATGAGTCAAGTAAAATGGTTGTTTTTTTTTTTTTTTTTTTTTGCACAATTGTGAGGCAAATCTTTGCTTTTCATGGTTGGATTGGACCTTGAGCAGTTTGGTGCTATAGCCTACTGATTACTTGTTTGAAAAAGGGTACATTGTAATTTGTGTGTTTTGGCATGCGAGCGTGTGTTCCTGTCTGCATTTGTGTTTGCGCATAGCGTCCTCTCGTTCCAATTCACTCTCTTTTCCCTTTTGCTCTCCTGTTTTGGGGAATTGTTGTTGATTTCCTCATGTGTCATCCATCCCCATGGTTACCACAGTGAGGTCATCATGATCCACCAATCAATGCGAGGCAAAAGTGCTGAGTGCATCCACTTAAGGTAACTTGGTCACTCATGTCATATTCCATGCTATGTGCTTCTGGGTGTGAATGTCTGGCTCAGAAGTTGTACTTGCATCGTATTTCCGTGAAAGAGCCAATGACAGTGTTCAATGTTGTAAAACCCAGTCTCACCCAGCGCATTATCCTGTTGTGAGAAGTTAAAAAGACAATTGTCATACTTTTGAATGCATTATTCATCCTAAACAAACAAACCAAAACATTAGTAAGGATTTATAGAGAGATTACATGTTACACATTGATTATCTTTTAAACAGCTGTCAGGAGACGGGTCAGTCACTACTAAAGCAATAATGTTTACCGCTAAATTGCACCAAAATGGGTTAATATTTTGGGAAAAAAAGAAATCTGGAGAACAGTGGATCTCATTCAAGTAATTCGCTTGCAATGCTGCCTGTAAGACACAGGAGGGCACTGCAGGACAATGCAAATCATTACCTTCATTCGCGAGTGACTCAAATTTTGTTTCATTAACGTCGTTTTCCTGTTTACACTTGTAAAAATATTTATGTTTTGACACGTTTCTGTTTTATACTCGACAAACATTAAGAATCAACAAAGTCAATATTTAGGCTACAATGTTAACAGTTATTCAGGACCTTTACTGTTTTGTCTGGTTTACCAAAAGTTGTGGGGATAATAAAAAAAACAAACAAACATATTGTAGCACTGTGTTTTTAAAATATGAAAGCTGAAGTAGTCCACAAAATTTGAGTCGTTACCTCAAGTTTTAGTCAAAGGGGTGCATGTAATCTCTCAGAGAACGCTTTGCCTCATTAATAGTAAAGCCATACATCTTTAGACAAAATGCTTTATCGGTAAAAAATAAAAAATAAAATTGCTTGATTGCATCTGGTCAGCAAGCTTACAGTATGACCTTGGAAAGCCCGGCTGGTAAAAAAATATATAATAATAAGAATAATAATCACATTTAATGGATATACAGTAACTGTACAATAACTGACAGAATTAAATCCTAAAAGCTGCGAAAGTACACTACATTTCTACCATGACATACTCAACTGCATAAAACCACAGATAAAGTTTATTCTTCATTTGCCCCATGGAAATCTCTCTCTCTGTTGTCCAAACAGCCGCACACAATTCATTGTTCTTCGCTTCTCCTGCAATCTTGTCCATTTTGCCGCTTCTGTTGCTGACATGCACGCTTACCGTAATTCAGGAGGTCGACTAGGCACAGTAAAACCCTCCCACCCAGGATGCCACTTTTATGCAAAAAATACAATCACCTGAAGAGTTAAGTAGAAGGTACGGTGAATATGCTTCAAACAAAACATTAAAGTGTTCCAACGCATCCATAGCAGCGGTGTGGGATGTGAGTCACCTGACTTGACTCGTTGACAATTATAGGATTTGGGACTTGCTCTCCAAACCTGACTTTCAGATATGACTTCCTCCTACCTCTAGTTCACTGCACACTGCACAGTACATTTCTCACAATGTTCCACCGTATTACTGTTTTTTTTTTGTTTTGTTTTTTTTTTGTTACAATTAAGGTTTCTGTCATGCTTAAATGTGTAATTTATGTCACAATTAAAATATGTATGTATATTTTTCCAATGTATCGTCATAAACAACTTTGAATTCTACAATGTCATCATAGTGTGAGTCACATTTAAAGCACTTTTATAGACTTGCTTGTTTGGTATGCTGTACTTCTAGTCTACTACAGTGTTTATTGGAATGGCATTTTGGGGGAGAAAATCTTTGGTGGAGGTGAAGAAATATTTCTTATGAATAAAAAGAAGTAGTTTGAAGGTAAACATTTACATAAACACACTTTTACGAAATGCCAACAACTAAATGCAGCGATCGATGATTCTGTATTGTACAATATTGTCAATTTGATTTCATACCTTCCCTTTGTTTGAAGCATATGGCCAACCTTTGTGGCGTTACATTCATGATTTTCTCAAATAGTATTTTGTGCGTGTCGTAGTAAGTATGAAATACCAATTAGCCGCTGTTACTATGGTTGACGAAGGACATTTCAGTAACTTCTTTCCAATTAGATTCAGTTCTGCTCTATCTTTATTTGCAATGCATGCTGTTTTGGGAAATCTGATATGATCAGTCACAAGTGTACCGTGCAAGCATGTCAAAAGCTAAGCTAAGCTCCATTCTGGAATCCCCGCCCTGATAATTACACCGTCGTCACACGGTGAGATTGGTAACTCAGGTAATTGCACCCTAAAGACGCATCCCGGCCACATCATTGTGCCCTGCAGCCAGGCATGGCTTAGTTCTCAGACTTCTCCTTTTGTGAATCCAACCAAACTTTCTTTTGAAGTAAGTTTTGTGTTTGTCCATTGTTTTTCTCTTTGTGGTTGACCTCTTGCCCTGTCTCTCCTCTCCATCCTCCTCTTCCTCCATTGGATGGCATGTTGTGCTGTGATGCCTCTAGTGATCTTCAGCCTTCTCTGGACAGGGTTAGGAGTGCTAGCACCAACTGTCTGACTCCAGATTATCATGTCCCCTCACCTGAATTGGAAAGGTACCATGCTCTGTATCCACCACCCTCCTCTTGCACTTTTTTCCCCACTTTTCAAAAATATCTCACCCTCAGAACGCCCCAAGGCACTCACTGTTGATCATTTTTTCTTTTTCACTAGTGTTCAAATTAACACTGTTTTCATTCTAATGATTTTAGCAGTAACGTTTCATTGATCAATTACCGGTAAGTTAAGAGTTCTACTAGTGATTGGTGAAAGACAATTGCTTTTTCAGTTTTTTGTTGTACACCTCAACCTCTAATTCTTCTTCTGCTGTGATTCATTTCACCACTCACACATTCCTAATTCGCTATCCTACTTACATGATCTTAATCCAAGAATTTGACCTTCAGTAATTTATGTCAAATACAGTCCTTCATCATTTCCGGAGAAATGTGTCTGCTTGGTGAGACCGAGTTGTGTGACTATCTTGGTTTGCTGTCCTAAACAATTGCAGTTGTTTATGTCTGGTATCCACAGTTTAAATCATAGCAATACAGTAGTGCCTGCAGTACAAAAGATGAAGACATTTGTTTCCTGGTGGTGTTTTACTATAGTCAGTAAAATACTAATATTCCAAGAAGTGAAATGAAATAGAGCTTTAAATGAAATGTAATTTCGTAAATTTGGCTGATTGAGGCGGTTTTGGCTGTACGCTGCAGTACAGTTTCTGAAGCAATGATCAAATAAGGAATAGGATTACCTCTGCTGCCCTCAAGTGGTAGAAAGTATAAAAATATTTAATATCGCAGAGCTCTCTGACAGTGTCATAAAATGTGCCGAATGTTGGGCCGGTAAGTCTGTCCTGTTTACATATGACATAAAGATATAAGACTTGGAAACATCAGTCCCTAGTTTTAGGTGATGTAGCGGTTTCATTTACATCAATTACACTTAGAGTATATAATGTACATGTGTCAATCATTTACCTTTCATCATAGGCATCTTTTTTTTACATTATGAGCATCAAACAAGACTTCGTGTCTATAATATGGATTTTTAAATACTAATGGTGTTGTACATTCATGTTATGTGACAGACTGTGTTGGACCGAAAAATACTAGTGGTTACTCAAAACCATTTTTTTTCAGCAAAGTTATTTTTGTCCTTGTGCACACATAGAAAATCATTGTCCCATTCATTGCCCCGGAGACGTCCTCCGAGCCCCAGGATTTTTATCCAACATGCTTCCCCTGAAGATGACAGGTACCCTTTTGTGGACCCATGACTTTTCTCTCAACTCTCTTGAGCTCGACTTGTGACACCACTGAGTACCAACTTAAAACCTTTATGCAACTTAAGAAATACTTTCATATACAACAATTACTTCCATCAATTATTGCCCTTTGTTTTCTTTCAAACTACAATTTATGTTTTCACGTGTTTTTCATCCTTAATTCTTTGTAAACTTTTTCATTTTTTTTTAAATACTTTTGATGAACTTGAATATTGCTAATCTATTTTTAAATTTAAAAAAATGAGTAGAACGTGATTTTATCTTGTGTGGAGTAAAGCACAGATATACTTGAATTGCGATTTAAATATCAATAGTATTTTTTAATTCATGTATTTTTTGCTCTTCACGCCAGGGAATCCTCACCAGCGTGAAGTTGTGTTCATTTTGCTTTTACATTTACAATTTCTATGTCAGCGGTAGTGACGTTAAATAGTGTCCTTTATTTGAACACATACAGGATAAAATCACAAGCTATACTTTTCCTGCTAGCTTTCTTGTCCTAAATTCCTGGTACTCTGTGGTCACGACTTTGACACAGTGACAGTGTGGCATACAAAGTAGAATTTGTCAGAGTAACAATGTACAGACAAATTCTACACAGTTTGCCATCCACATTGTGTAAAGGTTTTGCATTTGTGCATCTTTCTGCTCTCTTTTCCAAGAGTTGCGCTGGTTTGTGTTTCTGGTTGTGGATAGTGTTGACATTGTTTTGTCTTGTTGGTTTCGTATCGTTTCCTCCCCTTATGAAGCTGTAGTTTGTGCTCGTTTTTAACTTGCGGTAGCTTGGACTGCTTTTAGTGTGAAATTGTGCGCAATTGTGTCTGCCTCTTGCATTGACATAAAGTATTTGTTTTTTATGTTGTTGGTTTTTTTGGGGTGGTGTTCTGGGAATTGCATTTGCAGCTTCTATGTGCGCACATTCATTTTTTGCCCAAGACCAAGTTCTCAACAATGGTTTAGAAGTTTCATTGGCAACAAGTTTTAATATGTGTATGTGTGTCATGACTGTCATCCATACTACTGTTTATTTTACTCTGTGGTGCCTGAAACTCCACTCAGTGAGGTACATTTTATTCAGGCATCTGCACAAACACCCTCTCTCTCTCTCTCTCTCTCTCTCTCACTCACTCACTCACTCACTCACTCACTCACTCACTCACTCACTCACTCACTCACACACACACATATACATATTTTTTGTGACAGAGTCCCTTTTATATATCACCCTGATAACACCCATCTCGGGATGGGCTACACCAGGGCTCGGAGAGGCTCTTGCCCTGTTAGAAATCTGTGTAGGTATTTTATTTGATATTCTAAAAAATCCATCCATCCATTTTCTAATCCGCCTATCCTCAAGAGGGTCGCGGGGGTGCTGGAGACTATCCCAGCTGTAGGCGGGGGACACCCTGAACTGGTTACCAGCCAATCACAGTATTCTAAAATATATCTGAATTATTTTCTGAACTCCCCCTATGTATCCATCAAGCCCCGCTTTAGCTCCAGGAGAGAAGAAATCCTGGCACTGTCCCTGCACCCATCATGTCACGAAAGGCGCTTTCCCATTTGCCCGGTTCCACACTGAGACAGCCTTGCTTGGCCCCGGAGGGTTGCATTTCCATTAGACCTTTTGGAGCCTGAGCGCTTTCAAAGCAACTGATTTCCGGAACCATCTCAAAGGTGGTTCTAAAGCGCCGGCCACCTCAGGCCAACCGATGCCGTGTCATCACTGTTTTCTGATTGACAGAAAGCGATGCAGCAAGGAACTTAAGACGAGCCGGCCATCTCAAAGTCATAACAATATATTATATACGATCAACATAAAATAATTTTACAACAACACTGATGCACGTGTCCAGTTTCATTTGTACTAATTGATGCATTTTTGATGATTAAGAGAAAATATTTTCTCAAGCGTGTGCATTGCTTGCTTGCGGTGTCCCATTCACTTCAATGAGAGGTCTCCAGCAACAGAGTAGAAGCTCGCCACTGCCCCGGCCTGCCTGATCTTGGCCCCCTGCCTCAGGGATGGTGGCTTTGGGTGTCTGCCGAGGGCTTCAGATACTACAGAGTCAGGACGATAAGCCTTCGAATCGGGGAGACAGCGGAATGAATGAGTGACCTCTTCATTCAGAATGAAATCATGATCGTTGTAATTCATCCATGCTGCACATGAAATTGTAAATATGTTTCAATATTGTTGAAAGGCACAAAATACCTGTGTATACACTGTATTTTTGGCTTGACTGTGGCCGGCTGTCTTAAACCTGGAAATAGATATTTTTGTCTATATGTGACAGCTTCTTTGCATTAAATGGGCTGTACTTTGCCACATCGCTACCTCACGCGTGGCTAAGACTCGCTACTTGTTAGGACATGCTGCGAGTAGGAATAATGCAGCGCAAGCTTGCACAGTTTAGTTGATACCACCCGTATCCTTCCGCACGGATTTTGTAATGGAAAAACAACTGATGCCATGTGATGTGGTGTAGGGTTGTTTTGGGCTTGTGGAAAAGCGGCATAATTCTGTTTTTAGCGTTAAGACGGGCGCATCATCATTTTCGTCCTGGGTGGATGGTTTGGCGTGTTATGAATTTGGTAGACATGCGACACCTTACTGGGCGTTGCTTCCGCGGCTCACTCGCTATTTGGGTAAAAAAATTACACCAAAAGATAGACTCGCAAAAACTAGGTACATTGTGTAGCGCACGTGGTTGAACACAATGTTCGTGTATTTGATCGAGGCGCAGGAAGACAAAATTGCGTGGTGGATGTCACCGGATTTCATTCAGAAATATGACAACAGCGTGGGGGAATCCCTCTCAATAATTGTAGAAATCAATTAATTGAGCGAATTATAATAATTATCATCTTAAAAATGGTTTTAATAGCACCGCAGTCACGATTGGGGAAGGAGTCGGGTCACGAACGGACATGGTTGCAAGTGGTATCCAATTGCTTACGTCGCATGCACGGCCGACGACATCATTGGCAAGGGCAGTTTACCTGCCAATGTCATGCACGGACTGCAGCAAATCGTTTTCAGTTTCCGCGTGCACTTTGGCCGCCCTGATTTTAATGGAATTGTGGGGAGCGCGCTTCGATTGGCCAGGAGTCGGCTTGTTCCATCCCACAACGGTGCACAAAGGCGCAAATCCCCGTTGCGCCCAATTCAACCTGTGCAAAGTCGAGCAAAATTCCACAAGAAAGAAAATCCCAGACATGTGCCCAGTTAGACCGCGCTCTGCTCTAGATTTAAACTTTTTTTAAAATTTAAAATAAGATTTAAACTTATTGTATTGTATATAAACTGGGAACAAAAATAGGGCCCTTTGTGTTTTCATACCGATCTGACATAATTTATTATACCGTATTGGCCCGAATATAAGACGGTGTTTTTTTGCATTGAAATAAGACTGAAAAAGTGGGGGGTCGTCTTATATTCGGGGTCTAGACATTATACCCATTCACGACGCTAGATGGCTCCAGATATCATTGAAGCGAATGTTGAACTTGACTCCTCAGGCCAAAGCAAACCCCTGTCACGAAGAATAAAAATAAAAATAGCGGTAGCACGAAGAAGAAAAATAAAAAATAGCGGTAAGAAAGAAAAGAGAAGAAAATAATAGTTTACATATTTAAATGTTCAGATATTAAGATCTGAATGAGACAAAATAACATGCTTTTTCTCTCAAATATATAGTTATAATCATTTGTTTCAGATGTACTGTAATTATTTGATGCATAAAAATTTATTTGGTGTTCAAAAAGTCTTTTATCAAACTTGTCTTATAATCAGGGCCGTCTTATATTCGGGCCAATACGGTATATAATTTAGTTTTTTTCCTCTTCTTAATTACCCCCATTTTTGTCTGCTCTCTGATGCCTTTTGCACACGCGTACTGCATGTGTGCGCGCCAGAGTAAAACCTTCGTCTTATGGGCTCCTGCAGCCTTTTGGTAAGGGGATTCTCCCCTCAAATCATCCAATGAGAAGCAAATGCTCTTTCATTTATTCAAGCCACTGTAGTAGGAACAAGCTATAACTGTTTGATTCCGTGTTACATTCCATTTGACAAATTAAGCCCAAACTTCCTCAGAATAATCTACTCTATTTTTTTGTGTTTATCATTGTTTCGTGTGGACATGTTTGTGTCCCTCTGTCAGCCAGCGGATGTATAAAAGCAGTAATGATTTTGTCATTCAATTTCTCTATTGAATACCGTATTTTCCGCACCATAAGGCACACCTAAAAGCATCCAGTTTTCTCAAAAGCCGACAGTGCGCTTTATAATCCGATGCGCCTTATGTATAAAGTTACAATCTATTGATATTCCCCATTGAGTTGTTTCCCTGTTAGTGTTCCCATGCCATCTAGTGGTGATTATTAGCAGGAACCAATTGTAACCTAAAAGGGTTGTGACCGACACTAATTGAAATGTGCATTCGCCACACACTACTTCGCCACAGTGTTTTTTCATGCCATTTGTGGTTATGTTCCATGTCCGTGTTTGTGACCAGTTCTGCATGACTATGCTCTGTATAAATAAAGCCATATTGTATTGTATTGCATTCCTTTTAGCATAGCGCCATCTATTGAATGCATAGCACAATCGCAGCCACTATTGTAGCTTCTATTCAATGCGCCTTATAATGCAGTGGATCATATGAAAACAGTTATGAAATAGGCCATTCGTTGAAGGTGCACCTTATAATCCGAAACGTCTTATTGTGCAGAAAATATGGTAATTTCAACTTTTTAAATGTACAGTATGTGCTAAGTACTTTCAGAGTTAGACATTTCCACTTTCACCCACTTCCACCATCCATCTTATGTTTGTGTGTGTGTGTGTGTGTGTGTGTGTGTGTGTGTGTGTGTGTGTGTGTGTGTAAATCTTGTTTACAGAATCTGTTTCTGCTTAATTTGCTGACCAATCTACCCCTTGCTTCTCGATGGCTTATATGTTTTTGCCACCTTTCCCTGATTGTTGTTTTAAGCAAAATGTAAATGTTTTTCAAACTAGTGATATATTTTTGGTTGTTTTATCGAATTGACTGAACTACAAACCCGAAACATAAATAAAAACAGAATACAAGGATTTGCAAATCATGTTCAACCTATATGAATACACTACAAATATCCATCCATCCATCCATTTTCCGATCCGCTTATCCTCACAAGGGTCGCGGAGAGTGCTGGAGCCTATCCCAGCCGTCTTTGGGCAGTAGGCGGGGGACACCCTGAACCAGTTGCCAGCCAATCGCAGGGCACACAGAGACGACAACCATCCGCGCTCACACTCACACGTAGGGACAATTTTGCAAATTTAGAGTGTTCAATCAGCCTGCCATGCATGTTTTTGGAATTGGGAGGAAACCGGAGTACCCGGAGAAAACACACGCTGGCCAGGGGAGAACATGCAAACTCCACACAGGGAGGCCGGAGCTGGAATTCAACCCGGTACCTCTGCACTGTGAAGTCGACGCGCTAACCACTGAATCACTGGGCCGCTGCACTACAAATATTTAATGCTCAAATTGATAAATGTAATCATAATATTTTTAAGGCACCAACGTGTTCCAAAAATGCTGGGACAGGGTCATCTTTACTACTGTGTCACCCTTTCTTTCAACATTCAATAAACATTTGGGAACTGAGGACACAAATTGCTGAAGCTTTGTAGGTGGAATTACTTCCCATACTTGCATAATGCGGCACACATTTTTGGTGGGATACAGGTCTGGACTGCAGGCAGGCCAGTCTAGTACCCGCATTCTTTGACTGCAAAGCCACTCTGTTATAACACGTGCACAATGTGGTTTGGCTTTGTCTTGCTGAAATAAGCAGGGGCATCCATAAAAAAGACGTTCTTTGGATGGCAGCATGTTTCTCCAAAACCCGTATGTACGTTTCATCATTAATGGTGCTAACACAGCCCATCAGATGCTGACTTCTGAACTCTGCCTCCATAACAGTCCAGATGGTTCTTTTCCTCTTTGGCCCGGAGGACACAGTGTCCCCAGTTTCCCAAAACAATTTGAAATGTGGACTCGTCAGACCACAGAACAATTTTCCACTTTGCATCAGTCCATCTTCGATGCGCTTGGGCCCAGAGAAGCCGGCGACATTTCTGAGTTTTGTTGATAAATTGCGTTTGCTTTGAAGAGTAGAATTTTAAGTTGCACTTACAGATGTAGCACCAAACTGTGTTTCCTGACATTGGTTTGTTCCCAGTTAGCCTGTTCACCTGTGGGACGTTCCAAACAGATGTTTGCTGAGCATTACTCAACTTTATCAGTTTTTTTGCCACCTGTCCTACATTTTTTGGAACGTGTTGCATCCATAAAAAGTTCAATCAGTTTGAACATTCAATATCCTTGAATTGAGTCAATGAAATATATGTTGAACTTGATTCGAAAATCATTGTAGTCTGTTTTTATTTATGTTTAACACATCCCAACGTCATTGGATTTGGGTTTGAATTTCACCAAATGTCTTGAATTCCTTTCCATGAATATTTTGGATTTAATTTATATTCTCTTGTGTTTTTTCTTCTCTCTTCTCCTGAAATGATCAAATTCACTGTCTGTTCCCCATTTTCTTTGTTACGTAATAATAGGGGACACCTCCAAGGTGGTACACCTCTTAACTCTTCAGTGACATCATCCTCATCTCGCAAAGTGAGGCAGCTCCCCCAGCTTCCCCCCAAGAGCAACAGTGTAGAACAAGGTAAACGTAAACGGGTTTATGCTATTCTCCTACTATATGGTACATAGTTGATTTTTGACTACTTGTACTATTTTAAAGTACATCTGATCAGCTGTGTTTCTTGAAAACACCTCTGACAGCAAAACTTTTATGCTAAACCACGTAGCCATCTCCCAGAATACTAGATGTTAAAGCAGAAGTTCTTACAATAAAATCTTTGTTTTATTTTCTGTTTTTGTCCAGCCCTGGTAGCAGAGGAGCGCGTCCGTCAACTCCAAATGAGAGTTCATTCAAACCGGATGTCAGCTGCAAGTAACTCCAGCAAGCAGGACCTGGATAGAGCACTCAAGAACAAACGGGAGGTGGGTTTCAGGTCGTCTTTTACGTTGGGAGTTCCGAAATAAGTAGTCAAAAATCGCATTATTGAGTGACACAGAACCATAAGTTGCATAGACTGATTTGAAAACACATCTTAATAATGTCGCATAATAGTGAATCAGACTCATAAGAAAATGAGTGTGTGTGCGTGTGCTTGTGTGTGTGTGTGTATCTATATATATATATATATACAGACAACTTACAAACAACATACGTTCCAAACGTTAGCTGAATTTGGTCCTAAGTCGTTATAGGGCATTCTTTAGAAGGGAACATATATTTAAGGCTTGTATAAGTAACCTATATGGGTTTGTACTGCGTTAACAACACTAAATAGGAACAAAACACGATGGTTTTTAAAAATGTGTAACACTGGAGGAAAAAAGAAAAGAGAGAGAGTCACAGCATGGGTAGAGGGTCATCACATCGTTGTCGTCATCGTCACTAACATGTTAGGGAGAGTCTTCATCTTCTTCTTCTTCCTCCTGCTGCTCTTAATAAAGGAAAAAAAGTAGAGGGTTGAGTGAGGCGCAGCTTCTTCAGAGGTAGAGGGTATCGGCCGAATGAACCGATCCAAGGACGATTGGACGGTTCCGTTTTTTTTTTTTTTTTTTTTTTCCTTTTCATAAATGATGCAGTAGCACTGTATTGCATCCTTAATTTGGTTTGCAGCCTTCGTACAGCGCTAAACATTTGGTTCCTGTTGCTCGAAAATTGCAAGGGCTTTGTCAAAAAAAGAAAACTCCTCGGCCAACAATTTCGTCTCAAACTTCTTCATGGGTATAGGTGTGTCGTCTTCCTCCTCTTCCTCGGCACATTGTTGCGCCTCCAACTCCACGAGGTCTCCGTTCGTCAGCTCCTCTCCATGAGAACCCAGTAGTTCCTCCAAATCTTCCTCAATCATCCCCCCCCCCCACATTTACAATTTTGGTTATCAAGCAATTATCGTGTGAATGTCAGTCATGTGAACCACGACACTAACATCATTTATATGATGTTTCCCGCAGCTCTTCAAGGACCACAAGACGAGCAGTGAGAATGCTTCCCATAAGTCCTCAGACAGTGATGTCAGCGATGTATCAGCCATCTCTCGAACCAGCAGTGCCTCTCGGATTAGTAGCACCAGCTACATGTCCATCCAGTCAGAGAGACCCAGAGGACGCTTCAGGTACAGACATTATACGCACTAGTGTTTTCAAGCAGGTTATTTTTCCAATGATGTGATGTGAGTGATTTTTGTCAAAACCAATGATCAGTCGAGCCATGCGTGCGACGGGCCGCCACATTCTGAAGAGTACCAGTGTGAGTGGCGAGATCTATGGCATGGAGCATGCAGATGGCAGCCAATCAGACACCGCCCTCGGGAGCTTGGGAAGTGGGATCAAAAAGCGTCGCTCAAGCCTCAGCCAGCGTGTTGTTGCCATCCTACCTTCAAGACGCAGTCGGAGTACCTCGCAGCTCAGCCAGACAGGTCAGAGACCACCCCCCCAAAAAAAAAAAAAATCATGCAGGGTCCTCCTCTGTAAAGAAAAAAAATGGTGGCATGAAAAAGAAACATCACCATGGCATTTTACATACTAGACCCTTGTAAGGATAAAGCGGATCAGAAAATGGATGGATGGATGGATGGAGGGATGAAATCTATTCCAGCGAAGGCAAACTGCACGATGGTTTGGTCGACAGTCAACCACAGGGCACAGACACACATTCAAATGTACACTTGCAGTCACTGAGTGGAAAAAAAATGTCCATGCTGCCCAAAAAAAAAGGCAGTGTGTATAGTGCTGCTCCATCAGTGACACTACTGGATACGACTTCAAATACATATATCATTGATGTACAAAGTGTTCAATATCTGCTTTAAGGATGCATCAATAGAACACCTCAGCAATTACCACTGCGTTTCGCATGCTCAATGACATGGGCTTTATTCTCTTACAGTCGTGTGCATTTACAATTCATGTGCTGTATCTTCACAGTACGAGACTATACTGTATGTCATACATGCTAATGCCTTAATCTGTCTTTCCAGTACTTTGGTGTTAGTTATTGTTTATTGGTTGTGTTATGTGTTATTTCAGAAGCGGCTGTTAAGGCGGTGGACAGGCAGAAAGGTAAAGAAATGAGAAAGACAGCGTAGAATGGAAAGAAAGTTACAACATGAAAAATAGAGTCATGCTTCAAATCAGATTGAAGACTCATATTGTTTTTATTTCGTTGAAACACCATTGAGGCCCACAGTTTAACAAAATGATGAAGCATCTGGCTCAGCTATTACAACAGAGAAAAATACTGTTTAAAAAGTTGACCGACTATAATGTTGCAACTTTCAGCTTGTCATATTAGAGGTTGCCACATAGAATTACTGGCATGATTTGTTTGGGGCAGTTTTTTTTTTTTTTTAAGGCTAGATACTGCACAACCCACCCATTTTTTTCTGGGCTTCGGACCAGCACTGGCTGAGTATCAGGGCACTGGCCTAGCCAATGTGTCCAAAAAAACAACAGCATGTTCCAGTACGCAATCAGTGCTTCGAGTTAAATGTTTTTCTTTTTTAATACATTGTGCGCATATATAATCCAGGCAGAAATTGACAGCAAGAGATGGCATGAAGTTCACCAGAGCTGAATTTCATCATTACTCCCAGCCCTTCTTGACCTCTGTCTTTCAGCACGCTTCCTTACTCCATCCTCTTCAACAACATTATTTGGGTTATTCCAAGAAGCCGAGAAGTCGGAAATATCCAACCTATGATAAGGAAATGCACTCAAATATTATACTGTATAAAGTGACGCTAAGCATTTGATTTATTCCTTTGACTGGTAAATTAATCAATTTTTACCTATTTAGAATATTATTTATCACCATGTTTTTTGTTGATTTGAGTGATACACTTTGATGGCACAATGTGGGATATTTCCAACTTCCCAGAAGTCCTTAAATGCAGCAAAAGGTGGTTCAGTTCTGGAAGAAGCCGACAAAATTGATGTTTGGTGGCAATATTGTTTGGATTTCTTAATTTATTTTCTATTGTCTTGTCGGGCTGAACGGTTATGGAAAATATTCTAATTGCAATTTTTTTCCACAAAATTGCAATTTGCGATTTTATTTTTTTCATCGAGGTCCTTTCCTAATGTATTTCAGAACAATTCATCTTAACTAGGACAAACAAAATCAGATCTATTATACACTTTAGGATACGGATAAAGCAGACAAAGCATTAATTAATATCAAAGTTTCCTGTGATTATGTATGTAGTGGAAGCTTACTTAATACTTTGACGTGCAATTTGGTAAGCCTTCACAATGACAACATAATTCTGCCATAAAAGTGTGGTGTGAACAAGTATTTACTCGACCGTGAATGAGTCAGGTATGGAAGAGTGGATCTGCCATCATGGAATAAAAACATTTTGACTGGCAAATATGCTCAAACGTACTTGAGAGTACGTTCGGACATATTTTAGTCCTTTAAAATGTACTCGCAAGTACGTTGAAATGTACTTGCAAATCTTTTAATATCTGAGCGCTTCACAACTTTGCACCACACACTATCGTCTCAATATCAGAGACGCGTAAATTGAACTGAACCGTTTTCTAGTACATGGGCGGCACATAGAAAAAACAAAATAAAAAAATACATGGGCAGCACATTAAAAAAAAAGAAATTTAAAACATATGGGCGACACACATTTAACAGTCTTCGGATATTCATTTCCACACACACGACCTCCGACATATGACGGTAGCCAAAACATGACAAAATACACAACATGCATTCACGGTGAGAGTTTTTTGTTTCACAAATGGGGATTTTTTTTTTTTTAAACTTGCGAGGCGAAAAAGCTGAAGCATGTTATGAATATTCGCCTTACTGTCTCATGGGACGGAAACCTACTGAACGCGAGCGATTACGCCTGCTGTGAAAACCCCCTCAACACCTCCCCCCCTCCGCTTCTCAATACAGTAATGACCCATCAAATCGAAGTCTGCGATTACAAAATCATGTTTTATCACGATTATATTGCGAATGCAATTAATCGTTTGGCCATAATTGTCTCGAAACAATTACCTGAATGTCTGGATCAATCAAAACTGATGGCTTTTGGAAAGGTCTGAACCAATCATTTTTGGATGCACAGTGCTGATTGCATGATTTCCTTTTCTCTTTAAGTGTCACCTTTCAAACATGAGAAAACTCATAACTGTATGCTGTGGTAATAGGGACTATTACCACTTACAGTCGTGACCCCGCCATGTAAAATTTTACGTTTCAAAGTTTCAAGATGTGCAAATTGGTCGAGACTGTATCTTATCACATGGAGGATTTGTTGGCCTGCGATGTTATGCATACCCTGTTATCAAGCTTGTCAGGCCTACCTTCAAATCAACATGATAACCAGAAACTTAGAAAGTCTAGACACATGTACGTCTATTAGACTGTAAGAATGAGATAACACATTACGCACTTAGAATAACACATGCAAATATTCAGAACGCTAAAGGCATTTTTCTTTTTGTACTGCAGAGGCGCCAGCAGGTAAGAAGGTGGCTAAGGCTGGCAGCAGCAGTATCCAACGGAGCGTCGAGACGGGCATGGCAGTGGAGTACCCTCGAGGAGGCTCAGCTATGAACCGTCAGGCCAGTCGAGAATCCACTGATGGCAGCATGAACAGCTACAGCTCTGAGGGAAAGTAAGTACAGTTGCAAGAAAACCAAATTGAATCCTATGGAATTACCCGGATTTATGCATAAATTGGTCATGCAGCGTGATCTGATCATTATCTCAAGTCACAACAACAGTCTGCTTCAACTAATGATATTTCCACTCCCAACTCAAGTCTAGCGCAAAGTGCAGTCTGTGTGCATGGGTGGAGATTTCATTCTTTTGGTATTTTGCTAGACTTTGCATGGGCGGCACTGGGCATAAAGGGGCGCTTGCGCCGTTGTGGGATGGAAGTAGCTTTTTACCAGCCAACTGTAGCGCAATCCCTCATTTGCATTAAAATTAGTGCGGACAGAGTGCAGTGTGCTCGAGTACGCTGTGCTTTATTCAACTTCCATATCCGGATCCGGATCCCTCGTCATACCCTGGCCAATGGTAGAATCCAGGGTTGGGTTTTTTCTGCTTTGGTCCACTAAATCCATCTGCATTGTATCATCACAGCTAGCTAGCACTAAGATAACCGGTCATCTCCCAACCAAACGGCCTTCATATGCTGCTGTGACGGCGTGAGAGGCCAGCAGTGAATTAACAGGGGTGGGGATACTCTGCTCAGTTGGGCTTTATTGACCGACTGCTGAAACGGTTGACTTTAATGTTCATTAGCAAGCAAATATTCCCATACACATGCAAACGCTTCTCTGCGTTGCACTCGAATGTAGCGTGTTTTGACGTATGTGCACCCCTCACGTACATGCATCACGTTATACATCAGTGTTGCCACCCAAATATTTGAGACAATACATGGGACAATAAGTTATGACCCGTTCTGACTCAGATCAAAAAATTTGGATTTGGCATTCATTTTTAACGGCCTTTTCGCATCTCAGTTCAAGTCACCACCATGACGTGATTGGATGTTCTTTCAGACATTAACTCGATGTACGCGCCTCCGCCTGTCTTCGTTTTTTTTTTTAGCTGTGGCAACTGTATATTGTTTGTCTTTCACTGTTACAAGTAGGGCGTTTGTGAAATTCGCTGATGACTGGTGGGACTATTTAAGACTACTTTTCAGTTCATGTTAGAGGGAGTCTTTTCAGGCAGATGTGTATTTCTTGCATTTGAGCATAGACCAGGATATTTTGCAAGTGACCGTGCTACCTGTCTCATTTTGAGTAAAAATATTTCTACTCTTGAGAGGCACTGCTGCTACTTTAATGCGCTGATTGACTACCTGTTGATTTCAACGAGGTGCCCGTGTTATTAACGCCAAAACGGGTGATTGGCGATGGATCTTCTTTCTACCCATTATCTTGCTGCTGTGGACTGTAAATTTCCCCATTGTGGGACAAATAAAGGATATCTTATCTTATCTTATCTTATCTTATCAACTTCAAGTTATCACCGTCGCTACAAGAGTGGGAAAGTCGATGCTAGGCGCTTCAACCCCTATCATACACTGGAACAGCAATGATGCCAGGATGACGTCACAATATTTTCAAATTAAAGGAGGATGTTAAACAATATGATCTAGTTCCAATAATGACATCGGCTCCAATAAATCATGAACTACAAACACACAAAAGTGAAACATGATCTGATGAAAACCATGACCGGTGTTCTGCTCACAATCATCATCTCAGCAGGAGTGAGCTAATGCATTGTGTGCATGTGTGTGTGTGTCTGTCTGTATTTTTGTATGTATGTATGTATCAGTCTTATCTTCTCAGGAATGAGGTTGGGGGCTGACAGCCAGTTCAGTGACTTCCTAGATGGTCTAGGACCCGGTCAGCTGGTTGGCCGGCAAACACTGGCAACACCCGCAATGGGTGAGCGTTACTCCGGTCATTTTACTACTGTCACCAACAGGCCTTTTTCTTTGTATTGTTTTGTTTTCGATGTTCATTTCCCACATGTGCAGGTGATGTTCAAATTGGTTTGATGGACAAGAAAGGACAGTTGGAGGTGGAGGTGATCAGGGCACGAGGCCTTACCCCCAAACCAGGCTCCAAATCCCTCCCAGGTTACCAACATTTCTGTCGTCTCTTTGTTCTCATGACATTGCCGTCTTCTTAAACTACTTCCCCATATTCGCAGTTGCTTTTTCCATTCCATCATCCCGTTCTGCCTATTTTTGTAATCCATCTAACTTCGTTGCCGCATCAACAGCCCCCTACGTCAAGGTGTATCTGCTGGATAGTGGAACTTGTAAAGCCAAAAAGAAAACTAAGATTGCACGAAAGACCCTGGAGCCTCTCTACCAGCAGCATCTGCTATTTGATGAGAGTCCACAGGGCAAGGTGCTTCAGGTAAAATCCCCCGAGTATGCGTGTGTGTGTGTGCGAGCGTGCACGTGTGTGTGTGCGAGCGTGCACGTGTGGGTGTGCACGCGCGTGTATGTGTACGTGTTACTGACTGAACCGTCAAAAATAGCTTCTCATTTCAAATGTATCAATCAGAATGTCTTGACCATATGTAAATGACATTATTCATTATTTACAGAATGAAGGGTTTTTTTTTAATCATTTCTTCTTTGTTTTTGTCTGCTTGCAAGTGTCACTCGATTTTCTGTTGGACTAAGGACTGTGGTGTGTGGTTTTTGTTTTACATTGTCCCGTGTGTGACTCGCCAGCATTGTGCCGCTCTCCCCTCAACTCATTACATGCACTTGTGTGCCACCGCCTCTTTGTAATTTGTCTATTTCAGGGATATTCGCATAAAAATAGTCCAGGAAATTTCTTAAAATCAAATTACAGAAAAAAAGATCATTCAAAGCACGTATTACATTTTGGTCCCCAATTTTTTTTTCTTTGTCCGTGGTATCTCCGTCTGTTTGTTATAATCAGCTGAAATATGAATTTAGAAAAACTTCCAAATTCTTATTCTGACATTTTATTATTGATTGTCAAAATGAAATATAAGGACTGAAAAGCATTTATTGAATTCAAGTCCAGCACTGAAAAATATTCCTGTTAAAAATGTGGTTTATCCGTTGTTGTTTTGTCTCACCCTTTTTTGTTCTGCGGTTGTGACTGTGAGCGCCTGATTCTTGCCCTTGTTCTGCTTTAGTTTGTTTAATTATATTGCAATAATAGTGGTACCTTGACTTAGGAGTGCCGACAATTTCAGATATCTTTTTTTGGTTGGGGTTGTAAATTAGCCCTCAGTATGGCTCCCAAGAAAGCGAAAAGTGTAAGTGATTGTGCTATTTGAAGCCCTGGTAAGTGCCGCGCTTGCGTGACGGTGATGGATGTACTTTCACTGGCAAGGTTACACGCGTGTTGCCCGTTTTTTTATTGTGTGTTTCCCATGTTCTTATTCACCTGTTTCTTGTGAAGAACTGTAAACAGTTTGTTTCGCAGTCCAGGGGTCCCCCTTGTCGAATCCCATTCCTTCCACTGTGGAAATGCTGCGCTCACGTCCATCACTGCTGGTGCAAATAATAAGAGTACTGTCAAGCAAGCCAACTCATTTTTGGAATTCATTTAGGTTACTTTCATGAACACAGAAACGGACTAATGTGTGTGAAAGCCAGCGTTATGGCCTCGGAATGAATTGAACTCTTAAATCAAGATACCACTGTGTATGGTAATTTGGAAATCATGTTTTCGTACTTGTGTGCTTTTTGCCTCCACCAAACCACACTGTGGTGACTCCACTCTTCTCTCCTCCAGGTGATAGTGTGGGGGGACTATGGACGATTGGACCACAAATGTTTTATGGGTGTAGCACAGATCTTATTGGAAGATTTGGACCTATCAAGCACGGTGATTGGATGGTACAAACTTTTTCCACCATCCTCGTTGGTAGACCCCACTCTAGCTCCGCTCACGCGACTGGCATCTCAGACATCATTGGAGAGCTCAGGACCACCCCCGGGTGTTCGGTCCTAGTGACCGCGATGACGTCGAGCGTCAATAGAGGAACATAACTATTGGACCACAATGGAGCAGAGCGTGGCAACAGGACAAGAAGACCTTGGTCTACCAATAAAAAGCCACAAGGAGAGTCAGGGAACAAAAGGTACTAGAGAGCAGGTGGAAAAAAACTAGCTAATCAAAGCTTAGTCGGAGTCTGACAATCATTTCTCACACCTTTACTTCTTTATCAACTTCTACTTGAGCCTTTTCTTTGTAAAAGTTTGCCTTCATTTGTTCCTCCAAGATGGAGATTTTCTTTCCACTTTATCGATTCTCTTTTGTGTGACTTTATTTTTGTTCACCCGATCAAAGTCCTTCACTAGCCGGGAGTGCTATCAACACTGTGGGGGAATTGGTCAAAGTTCAAACTGACACACCTTCATACGGGTGAATGGCTGCATGAGACGTCCATTGGCGTTGAAACAGTGGAAGTGTAGCTGAGCACGAGGGGCTGCCGTTTGGCATTGTGTAGAAAACTTTTTAAGTTAAAGCAGCCTGTACACACACACACACGCACACACACGCGCGCACACACACAAACAGTCATCCCTTGCCCTGTGAGCACAAGTATAGCTTGTATTTTTTTTTTGATAGAGGCAAAAAGGTTTTGTTCTTTGTCTGAACAAAAGAAAAAGAGGCCAAATTTATTATGTGCTTTGTATATTTTATTTTGACTGTGTGTCTTTGTTTAGCCTAAATTTCAGAATGATACCATATGGTACAAATTATATATATATATATAAGTTAAACAATTTTGGGAGAGCTGGGGGGTTGTTTTTTTTTTTAGAGCAATGCTTTGCTTTTGAGCAAAAGCCACTATCAGGTGACATTTGTCCGAACAACCGAACACCAAAACCTGCTAGCCCTGTCTTCCCCTCCTTCGATTTCCCCTCTAAAAGGGAGCATGATCTCGGGATATGCCCTATCCTAACGCCCAGCTGCATGCATGGTCATCTTCTTATTTTAATTTCATTTTGGTTTTAGTCTCTCATTGTCTTTTTCTTTTTTTTTTTTGCTTTCAGTAAAGTCAATACATGAGAAACTAACAAACAATTCTTTAAAAAAAAAAAAAGTTATACCAAAAAAAAAAACAAACAAAAAAAAAAAGGTAAGATGTGTGTTAGAACCACATGATTTTAGGCCAGCTTGTATGTTGCATGTTCTTGTACAGTTTGCTTGTACTGAATATGAATACAAACCGAGAGAAGCCAAGCCATCCCCCACTTCAATAACAGGAGCGGACCAATGAGGGAGGATCGACTCCACCCAGGCCACACCTTCCACTCGGGGTTGAAATACTGTGTCCATGTCAGGAATTCTCCACAGTAAAATCTCATTGTTTCCGTTTTTCTTTTAAGCCCTTTGAACAACAGTGCTGTTCTGTAGTACGGAGCATAGCCGAGACCCTGGTGATGATGAGGATGTAACTGTCTTGTCAGTTTGTCGGGCTCCAGACCAATAGAGAATGTGTGGAAAACAGCTACATATATATGAAGTACTTTTAAGAGTTTGAGAGAAATTATAAAGATAGAGATATATATGAATATAGAAAAAAAAGTGTATTTGCCTGTCTCCAAAACACACATGCACACCTTGTACATAGAAAATAGTGAGAAATTATTAACAAGAGAAATGTCAGTGACAACGCGAACATTCCTGATTTTTTTTTCCTTTGTTTTTTTTGAGAGAGGAATGTGCACCCTTTGCTGAACTCAAGCTGCTGAGCGGTACTGAGCCACAGGGGGGTGCGCTTAAAGGCCTTTCTTTATCCGCTCTCCAATTTGTTAAAGCAAAAGTGTAGAAACGGTTGACACATTGTTTTTCCTTTCGAGAACTCCCCTCCTCCCGTTGATTGCTATAGGTTGGGACTGGACTTCTAAAGCCAATGAAGAATCTGATTTTACAGACCTATGTTGCAAAATGTTTGTGTTGAAAATCTTGGCAGGGTGGCCGCCTGCCCTTTCCTTTGTCAGTATTATTATTTTTGAATACTGATTGTTTACAACCCATGACTCCCCAAACCCAGATGATGATGCTAGATGAAAGATGAAGAAGTATTCACTGCAGCAGTTCTTGTTTGTATAACAGATGTGGCTCTACTGACGTGTATGTTTTATATTCAAGAGTTCATTTTTATTATTTACAAATAAAAGACTGTGCGGAAGAAGATACTAGCTCCTTCCAAGGAAGAGGCCTCATTCTTACGGTGAAGCGGCTGCTGTTATCACAGGGACATAATGGGTAAAGGTGCTACAATGCTAAGAAAGATATTTGTGGACTACTAAAAAAGTACAATTTCCTTTCAGCTCGCTCTTGGAACTGCTCAAACAAGACAAAGAAGCAACACTTAACTCATATTTAATGTGGGGTTTTTTTCTAATTTATATAAGTTTCGATGGGTAAAATCATAATTATGTAAAAATGGCATTGTAACACAGAATATGCATAAAAGAAGGCAGACGCGTTCAAAGTAAGTTCACCTACAGCAGTGGTGCCCAAGTCCGCTCCCCGATCCAACCACCAACCTCTCGGTTGGGAGAGGACCACTCTACCATTGAACTGCATTTCCCTCACGAGGCTCGCAGAGGGTTGCTCGAGCCTGTCCTAGCCGTCTTCGAGCAGCACCTGTGGTACACCCTGCACTGGTTAGCCAACGAATTGCGGGGCACACTTGGACTAATAATCATTCACACTCACAATCACAACAAAGAACAATATTGAGTGTTCAATTAACCTACCGTGCATGTCTCTGGAATGTGGGGGGGAAACCGGAGTAAAGGTGCTCAAAGTCATATCAATACAGAAAAACACCCAAAAAGCTGCATGAGGAAAGATTTTAAAGAGTGTAAATATGACCGAGTTCCTTAATTCCTTAATTCTTAGACCTGGGAACACAGGATGGAGAGGACAACAATAAGGAAGAAAAATACAGACTGATGTTTTTTTCTTTAATTGTGAGACTACAGTTTTCTCATTTTAGCGGCACGGATAACAGATGGATGCGGCACAGTGGTGACGAGTTAGCATGTCCACCTCACAGTGCAGAGGTGCAGGGTTCGAATCTGGCTTTGGCCTTCCTGTGTGGAGCTTGCATGTTCTTCCCGTGCCTGCGTGGGTTTCCTTCCACATTCCAAAATCGTGCGTGGTGGGTTAATGGAACACTCTAAAGTGGTAGCTCTACTGATGAAATTCATTGGTTTTGGAAGAAGTTCCCGACTAGAAAATTTTGTAAGTAGAGACGCATTTTCGATGCACATGCCCGAATCCATTCAAAGCCCCACCAAAATTCAGACATATGTATTTTCTAAAGCAGTGTTTTTCAATCTTTTTTGAGCCAATACACATTTCTTTCATTGAAAAAAATCCCACGGCACACCACTACCTGAAAATGTGAAAAAAACCCTTATTTTAACAATTAAGTTGTTATTATCAGTGTTTTTTTTTTACATTGAAAATTAACACAATATTACAACACATTGAATAGTACAGTAATCCCTCATTTATCGCGGTTAATGGGGACCAAAACCACCCGCGATAAACGAAAATCCGCGAAGTAGCGACCCCTCCTCCTGTATAGGTACATGTACATGTGTATGAGTATAAAAAATATTTACAAGGCCAAATTTAATGGTATACATGCATGTAGAAGTAAATTTTGTCGTAATTAACATTACTTAATGCTGTATACTAATAGATTTAACCCTGGAGAACCCAAGAACCCTTTTCTTCTTTGGAAAATGATGAATTATACATTAAATGACTGCTATATGTTCACTGAACACCAAAATATATGTATTTTCAAATATTCAATGCTTTAATCCTAATTGAGGATTAGGGTCAGATTTGACCCTTTGGGATTTAAGGGTAGCATTTGAGTAGCAGAATTTATAGGGGCCAAATTTGACCCCGTGGGTTCTCCAGGGTTAAACGCGTATAAGTTAGGTTAGGTTAGTGTATGAATAACAAAATACAGTAAACATATACATGTAGTACTGTATATGTTGCTCTATGTGACTCGCTGTTGTTTTGCTGACTTTCACTGCTTCTCCCGGACTGTTTGCGGACTTTTTGCGGACTTAAATTATTATTATTAGTTTTATTTTTTATTTTTTTTATGAATATGTTTGAAAAAATCCGAGATGCACTGAAGCCGCGATAAACGAACCGCGAAATAGCGAGGGATAACTGTAATCGAATCAACATCAATCCAAGATTTGGTGCATTCATTTTAATGGCAAGTAAAATATAGTCAATTAGAACTTTAACTTGCTCAGGGTTGGATTTTTTTCTGTGTGACAGTCGGTTCTTTTTCTCCCAGTCGTATCCCTTTTCCCATCTTCGGTCTTTGTATAATTCCAACTTCATTCAAATGACTTTTCTGCTGAATCAACTTCATTCAAATTACTTTTCTGCTGAATGTGTCGCTTGAGGTAGTCCAGCTTCCAAGTCCATATTTTTCCATCGGAAAATTTGCTTACAGTTTAAGCTTTACTGCATGTTTTGCAGAGCATACCTTTCTCACTAGAAAAAAAAAATATCTCATGAAGTTTCATTGCTTGTTTTTCTATATGCACATACTCCGACAGCCATTCCAACTTAAAAGAACCGCAGTTCATTCTTATTTTGGTTTGGGGAGTCGACGTATCATGTTCACTCCCTGGTCGTTTCGCCATGATAAAGGATTAACATTAGCATCACAGATCGCCGCTGCACTGTCATTGTTATGGAGCAGAGAACATGCGCAAGTACTGTCAATGCCGTGATTGGCTGCTTGGCGTCATTGCATCGTATCGTGTGATTGGCCGGACACCTGCCACTCACTGAATTACACAGCAAATTGACACAGAAAAAAAGTTAGATATCTACAGAAATTCATTTGCAGTCCGTTCACTGCGCTGCATAGGTTTTCTTGTGCGCTGAGAGTGTGCGACAAGTGCACAGTTGCGCAGCTTAGAGGGAACTTTGGTGCCATTGCATCACCGGTAAAAGTAAAATCTAAATGACCTACACCTTTCTTTCTCCTCGCGTCGAAACCTGCGCTTGTCTCGAAGCATAAGGCAATTTCCTCGCTGCTGCTGCTCCTTACCTGAATGGAAGAGTACTACATGATTACTCTTCCAGGCGATGACTGCACAGGGATACATATTGTATAATTTCCCACGGCACACCTGACAATATACCTGACAAACCATTTGCCGGTGTGCCGCGGCACAGGGTTTGAAAAGCACTGTTCTAAAGCATAAAAATGTATCAAAATATGAACTAAATACATGTTGCAATTACATTATTGCACAATAAATGAGATTTGTGCACGATGTAAAACATAAAGAATCGAGTAAAGAATAAAAATGATGGTCATTTAACTTTTAACTGCGTCCTCACCGGTTTTTGCCCTCATTAGTTCATGTTCTCCGTCAGAAGTGGTTTTTGTCTGGCGTTTTGTAAAGAATTGAGCCAAGGACATTTGCTTTTGTCGTCTATAACATCCATCCATCCTTTTTCCGATCTGC